ATGCGAAGAAAGCCAACAGGACCAAATAAAGAGAGCCCCCTGCCTCCCCAAAACTAAGACAAAATAAAACCAGACAGGTCCATACGAATAACAAGTTTGTTTCCTACCCCAAGTGTTCTGGACACATTCTTTGAACCCAAGGCAGCCCGACTAGGACAGGGGCCAAGTGGAAGAACTGAGGAGACTGTGCCTTGGCTCCAGTAACACAACATGTGGAGCTAACATATCTGGGAGACAGGTGGGCAGTAGGGCTCAGGCGACCTTTAACTGGAATAGACCCACAAGATGCAAAAGTAGTTCCAAGTCCTGACTTCTGCCCTGAAAGTATTCCATAAGTGCCTGGAAAAGCCAAGTGTGAGGAAGTCCCATCCAGCCACCAGATGAGGGTTGGACGTGGGATGTGAGATGGACTTGAGCTCCAGCCAGAGCACTTGCACCTTGTGTTGGCATGTGGCCTAGCCCATGACCTGCTGTATCTGTCCCTAAAAGCAGAAGCAACTTGGAGCCTTACAAGATTAATAAATAAATAAATAAATAAGACAGATAACAGTACTAAATATTGACTTTATTCTTCACAATTTAACCTCTGATCTAACCAAAGATTGTTGATATTTGTGTATACGTTTCCCTTTAAAAAACACCACACACAAAGAACGTGATGCACACATTTATGCTATAATCTGCTCCTCCGTTCCCCGCACAGCTACAGTGTGCACAGCCAGGATCCACTTGAGGGACCATGAATCCCACTAGGGCATTGTAAACACATGGCACATCTGAAAGCAGAGGCTCTGCAGTTGGAAGGCAAGCCATGGCTTCAGGACTATAGTAAAGAAATGCCCAAGGTCACGTAGTTACTTTAGCTCACAACTGTGACAAAGTGTCTACCTGGCAAGAGGGTCGTCGCCGTCGCCCTGCCCCCGCCCGCTGACCTGAGACAGGTGTGTTTTGGAGAAGAGATTGGGCCACGAACAGCACACACACTCTTACAACCAAGGACAACCAAATGCAAGGGAGATGGGGGCTTTCAGTGGGATAGCCCAAATAAAACCAAAAATGCCCAAGGCCCAAACCCCAACCAACACCCCTGCTTTAATTATAATGAAACGATATCAACATGAAATGTAGGTGTTATCCGGAGTCCACTATTCGAAAGCAATGTGGCAAATGCCAAAAGTGAGTGACAGAGATAAAGTCTGCCAAGGCCCACAGAGGCCTGGACTGCCCAGGAGCTTCCCAGAGCCTCACCTGGAGCTTTCGGGCCATGGCTACAACTTCGTGGTCAGGAGGGTTGTACTTGTAGCAATTGGAGAACATCAACCGGACATCTGCACCAAATTCCTGAGCATCACGGTACTCACGGGCCTCCAGCTTAGACTGGAAAGACAAGACAGACTGTGTCTGCCCCTGCTGGTGGAAGGTGGCAACAGGGAGGGCTGCTAGCAGGAGCAAGTGGGGATTTAACCCAGATCATGGAAAGAGGTCATCACCCTAGTTCTCAGTGCCAGGTGGAAAAGGAGACACTCAACAGCAATTCTCAGGGCTGGAAATCCACCCACATGGTCACTTTGCCTGGCTAAGGGAGAAGTGGACATAGAATCCACAGAGGCAGAGCTTAAGCCAGAATTGAAAAGGTAGGGCTGGGCCCTGTTATGACCAGGTGTATAAAACTTGTTTTGGTGACACAGGAAAAACATTGGTCAAAACGAACATAGTTGTCCCCGCTGTGCCCACCCCATGTTTGGGAAGGCTTACTCCACTCTCAGAAGAAGAAAAACGCAAAAAAGCTTACAATAAAACCAGGCTTCAGAATATGATAGTGATGAAATGCCAGTGCTTGTCATGTGCCTCCTACCGAGAGAAGACAGCAAGGCCCTCCCCATGACACAGCCTGACGAAGTCACCAGCCCCACTCTCTGGAGCATCTACTGTATGCAAGGTGCCAGTGGGCACTGGGCCCCAAGGCCCAAGAGGGCTCTTTTCCTAAGACCAGGAAGCAGCACTGCTGTCTGACCAAAACTGCCTCATTGTCTAGGACAGTGATGGCGAACCTATGACACGCGTGTCAGAGGTAACACGCAAACTCGTTTTTTTGGTTGATTTTTCTTTGTTAAATGGCATTTAAATATATAAAATAAATATCAAAAATATAAGTCTTTGTTTTACTATGGTTGCAAATATCAAAAAATTTCTAGATGTGACACGGCACCAGAGTTAAGTTAGGGTTTTTCAAAATGCTGACACACCGAGCTCAAAAGGTTTGCCATCACTGGTCTAGGAGCATGTCCCTACAGTTCCCAGAAGGGGGAGCTTCACTCCTTTGGGCTGGTGAGGCAGCTAGAGAGCTGCTGGGGCGCAGTTCTGGGGTCTTCCCTGGCCTCATGGACACCTGCTGGCCCACCTTGATTGTGCTCATATCCATGGGATGCTTGATGATGTCACAGTAGTCATGAAGGCCCAGCGCCTCCACGTCCACGGGCTTGTAGAAAGGCCAAGCATAGGCGGCATGCTTCTTGGCGAACATCTCCTTGAGGATGCCACTACAGCACTTGAGCTGCTCTGAGATCTTGCTGCTCTTGTCCAGTGCTGGGTGCTGCTGTGAATCGGGCACATCCTTCTTTGGGGGTTTCACGGGCCGGCTGCTCTCCCGCCGGGGGCCCAGCTTGGTGGTCTTGGGCTCTGGGGGCAGCAAAGGTGGCTCATGAATGGAATCGATGGTAGTGGGGGTGGTGGTGTCTGCTTTCCTCTTAACACCCTTCTTTGTCTGCAGAAAGCACAGAAGAGATAAGCACAGTCAAGGGTGTGGTTGGCATTTCAAACCCTCAGTGTCACTCCTGAGACCAGGTCCTTCCTATGGTCCCAACCCTCCCAAGGAATAGGAGAGCGTGTCCCACCACTCTGCTCTGCAGCTGGAACAGGCCCTGCTAGGGGCAGAATGCATGCCATTGAGCACTATATTTGCTCATCAAAGGCCAACAAAACAATCCTGACGCAGCTTCCTACTCATTATTGGGGGATTCCCAGATCCGAGCCTGCCACTAGGCCACCTTGGAAGGCACGTTTCAGAAACTATTTAGCTAGCCTGTCAACATGCACGGTCTAAATCAGAAATGGGAGGGGTCAACAACCTCAGGAGACAGTGCCTCCATTATGGGATCTTTGGGTCGGTAGCTTCTGGACTATGCTGAGTTAATCCTCTCCCCAACACTCACAAGTGCCCTTGGGAGCCAGGACACGCTCTTCATGAAGCACTGGCAAGGATGGGTAGCTATCTCCTGCAAGGCTCACTGCTACAAATCAAGGAGTAGGGGTGGGAGGGTGCTAGCTGAGGTGGTAGGAGCCCAACAGTGGTTGGGCTGGGCCACACACAAGCACCTAAGGGACACTCACCTTCACAGGCTGTGGGGTGGCCGCAATGATGGGTGGATGGCTCTGCACAGGTTGGGGAGTTGGTGGGGGTGGGGGTTGAGGGGGCACAGGCGGAGGAGTCTGCAGTGGCTGGGGAGGCACCACTGTGACAGGGGTCTGGACAATGAGGTCTGGGGTGATGGTGGAGAAGGAGTGAGGTGTGGCCTGCACAGGTGGAGGGTTTTGCTGAGAGGTCTGTGTCTGCGGAGGAGTCGATGCTTGCGTTGTGTTTGGTACCGTAGAGACGCCAGGTTTTGCCGGCCCTACCAACCATAAAAGGGACAGGTGGTTAGATGCTGTACCCGACACATGCAAGCGGACCTCCTGGGGACATTGCCACATATGGTGAGCACAGATCTTCATAGACGTGGCACACAGTGTCACCACAGCTATTTGCCTAAGAGAAAACATCTCAAACACCCCAGACCTCAGTTAAGTCTGTCCACCTGCTGGGGCGGGGTGGGGAGAAAGGGTTTCAGTAGTGGTGGGTGCATTGCATTCACACTTCCTGGGGGTCTTGGGCTGCAAGTATCCTCTTGGGCACAAAGACCCTTCATAAGCAGGGAGGGCTGGACTGAAGGAGGAAACACACATTGAGAGTCAGCATCAGGACTGCGGATGAAGAGCAGAAAAATGTTTCTTGGCAATTTTGGGCAGTGCTGTCCTCATTCCCAGAAGCACTGCCTCTGAGCAAGTGTTCCTGGTAGGGGGCGGGCATCAGAAGCCATGGCCAAGGCTTCTGGAAACCGCAAGCTCCCACTTCCCTGAGCCACAGGGAGACTGGCCAGCTGCTGCCTCCCTGCAGCCGTGCAGGTGAGCCCAGACATACAACGCCCTATGTCTGCCCCCTCATGCAGGCAGGTTCTGTGGTTAAGCCGTGACTTGAGACCAGCTCTCCTTGGCTACCCCTCAGCATTCCAGGGCAACTAACTCCCAGGCAACTAACTCCCATTGCTCCCATGAAGTCACCACTTCTCCTGAGTGCGGTGGGAAGCCAGGTGAAAGCTGGCTCCTGTGAGAAGCAAATAGCTCACAGCATGGCCACCTTGCAAGCATCGCCGTTTTGCAGCAAGGAACCATGAATGGCAAGATGCAGAAGGCGAAAACAGGCACTGAGATAGGCAAGGCAGACTAAAAGTTTGGGTGCCAAAAAACAGGTAGGGCTCCAACACAAGCACATTAAGATAATTCAGATAACAAACCCCCAAGACTCTAAGATTGGGTTTTAGTTAAAAATGCCTTTTGTCAGGTGAATTTCTTTTCTCTAAAATGAAAAAGCAGACACTATCTATGGTGCTGGCAGGGTAAAGAATTCACATAATTTAAAAATATTTTAGAGAAGTTACACTTTCTTCTTAAACTGAAGTCCAGCAAAAAAGGCAGGGCTCAGTTATTTCTACTTAGCGGGAGGGTTACACAGTCGCGGAACCCGCTGGGCAGGTCCACCACTGCACCTCGTCCAACTGTATCCAACCAGCAGCCATCTTCCTACCACTGCCAGTCTTCTACTGGAGTGGAGAGGGGCAAACAATGGGGGGAAAATGAAGCCATTTCCTCGTTATTTCAGTGTGGGGGCCCTACCTGCTTCTTTCCTCCCACGTCCTCTTCCTTTTGCTGGAACTATCATGATCTCTGTTTCTTCGGTGGGCAGTTCGTTGATTTTTTGCAAGAAGAGCTTCTCCAGAGCTTCTGCCATTAAGACTATGTCATCTCCAGGCTAGAAGGGACATGCAGGGTGAGGGTCAGAATCCCTCCCGCCCCCCAACTTCTAAGCAGAGCAAGAATTCTCCACATTGTGCTACCACCTCTGCCCAAAATGTGAAGCATCATATTCAGGTTCCCCAAGATGAGCCCCAAAGGCCCACAACACAGCTAATACCACTAGGCATCACAGTCTCATGTACATCTGCTGAGCCAGCACCTCCCTCTTTAGCCTTTTAAGCACTGGCCCATCTGAGAAACCATCCTTTATGCCTTAAATATCTAATAATCTATCTACAGACACAGGGGCCCTCCTTTTAATACAATTCAACTTCACTAGATATACTTGATTTACACATGATTTCCTGCTACAGATACGTTAGCAGAGCTCCAACCATGTTCCCCAGTGTATTCCAAGGCAGCTCACTGGGGCTCCGGGCAATGACCATCTCATATTGCCTTACGGATCCCCAATCTCCCCTAGTCTGTAATATGCTGTTCCCCCTCAGCTCTAAACTCATCTGGGCACATTTTGCTTAAATCTAATAGTGAGAGCTGAGACTTTTAAAAAATGTGGTAAACTTCAAGAAACTCACCTACCCATCTCTTCTGGGCAATTTTACCCACTACACCAGCAGAGGTCAAAAGGTGATTTCTGTATAGTGTCTCCCTCCAGGGTCGTTCTATTTGAAAGGGTTGGTTTTAATCACATGTGTGGTCTGAACTGTAAATAATAAATGATCTGGCTTCATGGCATAGCCGAGTCTAAAGGTTTGGCTACTGGGTTAAGAAGTGATCTTCAGGTCTACACATAAGACTGGGGGATACTTGCTTCTATTGCTACAAGTTGACAATAGTCATGTTCACAGTTCTAGATGAGGCAGGCCCCATTGCCCCTTCTCTCACACCAAGGTTTCTGTTTGAGCATACATTTTGTAGACTTCTTGACAATTTACATCATCCAAATGGACTTTTTAACAAGTCCTCATTGTTCTTCTCACACCTTCTCTACTACATACTCAAGAACCCAAATCCCAAGGGCATAAGTAGCACATGCTTCAAGCTAACAAGGATGGCTCAGAAAACACAGAGCACCCCTCTCCCCACACAGTCACAGGCAAGACCATGGGTTCCATTACCCCTGCTTCTAAGTGTCCTCTGTCAGACTCCAATCTACTCCAACACCCCTGCCTATGGGCTTCAGACATGTCCGCCTCTTCCTCCCCGCAGGGCAGCTGGACACCAGCCCCAACATCTCACCTTGTTGTAGATGTAACAATTTGTAAACATAGTGTTGAAGTCCTGGATACATTCCTGAGCATTCCAGTAATAGTTGTTTTCCAAGCGCTTCTTTATTGTTCCCATATCCATAGGTGTTTTAATGATCTTATAGTAATCCTGGAGAGCAGAGAGAGCAAAAGGCCAGTGTCACCTCCGCAGTCACACAGCACTCATAGCTGGGCCTGCAGACCTCACAGGTCACTCCACAGATGCACAGCCCGAAGCTCTTCCATGGTGTCAGTGAACAATTTCAAGGAGACCCCAAGATAAAGTAAACCAGGGAAGGATTCCCAAATGCTAGGTGGTAATTTGGAGGAAAAACGTTCAAGTTTGCCACTGCCCTGCCTGGGAACAGGATGTCTTTACTGAGATCTTTTTTTTTTTTTTTTGGTATGTTAAAGTGTCCTTCCATTCTAAATAAATAATGGGGAGAACATACAGCCTTTAAAAAAGCAGTTCTTATCTAGTAAAACCACTTGTGGCAGGTCTACTTTCTCTCCACAATGTGAAATTTTATGCGTCCATAAAATGCAAACTCCAATGGAACCAGCAGTGGAGCTCACCCCTAACAATTGGATCCCTTACTTCTTGTCACACTGAACAATCATGGAGCAGACCTCCACCTTCAGTCAAATTCATTGGCCTTTCACTTGTTTTACTTGTACACAGTCTACCACTAAGTACCCATTAGTATCTGGTACAAGTAAGCACTAAACAGGTTACCTGCCAAATAAGGAATCTGCAACAGCCTTCACAGACCCTCCTCAAACCCTTGGATCTTATTCTACAAGTGCCAAACAGAAGGAGCCAGATGGCAGGCATAGATGTCCACAAGCCCTTTGGATCAAACAATACTATCGCCACAGCTTTCTTCTAAGTTTAGAATACTAAAACCAAATGTTTATTTTTAAAAACAACCATAGGGGAATTTGGGGACAGAACAGGCAGCACCTAGGTTTCCAGGTGGAAGGATCAGAGAGCCAGGCAGGGGACCTGCATGCAGCCACCTAGCCCCACCAAGAACACCATAATTAGGCTTGAATGGGGTATCAAAACCAAGTCCAAGTGGAAGCCTATGGCAGGGGAAGGCCTATCTGTTAGCATGTGCCAACGTCCTACCTGGGAACAGTGGTGGGCAGTACTGAAAAGGCAAGCTGGGGGTGTGAGGTTTTGAGTTGCTTTGACACCCAGAAAAGGAACAAAAATCACTAGCTCACACAGATCCCAGCTCTAGGCCTCTTGGCCAAGAGGCCTCAAAGGGGAGACTGAACCAGACTTTCTACATTATACTGTGCTCTGATCACCTCTATCAAGAGAATCAAGTCCAGATATATCTGTCCCAATGGAAATCCAGATTTTATTTATGGTCAGAGATCTCTTAGAGGGTGTCAGGTGCTTGAAGTGACCAGTGTGTCAAGTGACTTAAGGGCAAACAGGACAGTGGTTGAGGATAGAGGACAAGGGAGGAGGTGGGATGAAGACAAAAGGGGGGTGGTAGGGAGAAGGGACAGACAAGAAGGCAGTGGGTTTAGTGGCATGACAATCCAACCATACATGTGTACTGAATTTGAAAGAGGCAGGCATTCTAGTGAAACGTCTAACAAGAACCAGAGACCAAAATGGAGGTGAAGATCTGGAAGGCATCAGAAAACAGGAAAAAAAGGAAAGGAAACCTTTTTTGGGTGAGCCTATTAACATCTCCTAAAGTGGGAGCTGGAGGGGTGGGGGGTTGAGTCCCCTAAAAAACTGGGCTTTAGCATGACATTGCTCCCAGCCTATCAGCACCCACCACCACCACCACCACCCTCCCCACCTGCGTCTACTTCTCACTATTCCTACCTCTCTAAAGATACTAGATCAGTGCCACTGTCCATCCGCCTCTCCTTCCTTTATCAGAACTGCCGAGGGTAATCCTTGACCTAATAGACAACCCGCCCCTGTGGCTGCCCCATTGGCCGGGATGCTGCTGCCTAAAAATCCAGGGTCCCCCAGTACCCTTTCTCCTGTCTGCCTCACCCTCTCAGCCCTCTGCATCACCCTATACAAACCAACCCCTTCTTTGTTCTGACCCTGCCACGTTTCCCTTCAAAGCCAAATTTCTTTGAATGATGGCTTCGTGTCCTCACCTTCTCATTCACACCGTCGAGAATCTGGTTTCTACTTCTGCGTCACATCTTCCTAAGGTCACCAATGCCTTCCTAAAGGCCAACAGGAGGGTCAGGTCGGAATCCTCATTTCTGGCCCCCCTGTAGCCTCCAATGTGGAGACATGGGGGACTGCTCTGTTGGTAGGTCTCCTGGCTCCCCTCTGCAAGCTCCCACCTCCTCCCTGGTTTCCACCCAGGGCTTCTTCTCATCCATTTTCTTGTATTTACTCTACGAAGATCACCCTCATCTGTGGACCCTGCACAACCAGCTCAACCAGAGACCAGAGTAGCAAGCTCTCCCAAGAGCTTCCCTCTAATGACAGGTCAGCTGCCTCTACCCCTTGTTATAGTCAATGACAAGTGTGGCCTCTGAAGTCCAAATTTGGCAAGGACCCTCTTTTGCCTCCACCCTCTTTCCTGAGCTGGTTCATGACTCAGGCCTGCAGTGCCCTCTCCTGACTCTCTCTTCTCAAGTGCACATGACATGTATTCAGCGAACAGATAGCACTGGACAGTTGTCACAGATATAGTGGCCTTTAAGCCAGGAGAATTACGCCAGTGTGTTCATCCTACTTGAAACTGGATGCCTGGCTAAGGCGGAGGGTCCTACAGCTATATAGTAGCTCTAGCACTCATAAACCGCTGCCTGGGTTATCTAATTCCAATTCCTGGTCTAGGGGTTGGAGGTGTAGGGATGGGACTTGGCAAACAGCAGAGGGCAACTTAAAGACATTCAGTCCTTGATGCTTTGAAGAAAAAAACAATTAAAAGCATTTGAAGAAAATATTAAAGCATTTATTCCATTTGTTCCTTGAGGTTCAGTTAGGGTTGCAAGTCAAGTTTCCAAAATCATTTGCTAGGAATGTGGACAAACAGAAACCTCTCTAAAGAGAGAAGAGGCAGAGAGTACAAAAAAAAAAAAAACAAAAAAAACACCAAGAGCTAGTGCAGTATAGCCACGAAGGGGCGGGTAGGCATGAGGGCATGCAGAAAGGCAGCTGGGACAAAGATGCACCCATATCCGGCCTTTAGCCAGGCCACTTCCATGAAATTGCTCCCTGGGAAATAATCAACTACCTTTCCTGCCCTATGCTCTGAGTGATAGTGATGGCGCCAGTACCAGAAGAGGATTGCTCCTGCAGCAAGCCAGCCTTCTCTTGCATGGTTTGACCAACCGCATCTACTTCTGGGAAGGTTAGGAGCACCTGAGAAGAGAGGGGACAGAAGTGCTCCCACTTCAGCTACCCATGAAATCAAAGGAAAACTGCAAGTATTCCTTTACCTTTGTTTCAATTGCTCTCTACACAATACATCCTGGGATCCTAATCTGCTTAAGCCAAAAAGCACGTTCTCTATTCTTCCTCATCACCACTCATCAGGATTGCTGAAACCACTCACTCTAGGGCCAGAGGGTGCTGGAGTTCAGAGCTGGGTCTCATGCTTTCACAACAACTCAAGCATATCTCTATCCTGCCCTAAAGTCTATCCTCCCAGGAGCAGCGTAAAGAGAGCCCTGGAAGATGCTACTCTGGGTTCCTGCCCAAGCTACTCACAGGGAGGTTTAGCTTGACGGCGTCCACAGGCTGCTGGAAAGGCCACGCAAATTGGTGTTTCCATAGTGTCTTGAGCACCACTTTGAGCAGATATTGCAGTTGGTTGGTCTGCCTCTTGGGCTTGTTGGGGTTGGAGGTCTCCGGGGGCGGAGGGTTGGTGCTGGCTGCGTTGGCTTGCTGGGGTTGGGCTTGGGCCTGCGTTGTAGACATTTGGGTAGTTTCTAGTCCATCCCCCATTACGGGCAGATTTCTTAATCTCGTCCCAGGGCCGCTCTCCGAAGACATGCTACTGATCCCATCACATTCTTCACCGGGCACTCTAAAAGGGAAAAGAAAAGCCACCATCAGTGGAGAGGCACCACTATGATGACATTGTCTCCACACCACCACCACGACCAAGGACTAAGCTCCTCTCCCAGAGGCTGGTTGGATGAGACAGGTCAAGGAGCCACTCCATGCACTGACTAAAAGGGCTCCAGGACCTGCTCTTCTCAAAGATTTGTCACCCAAAAGGAAAGAGAATAGGTAACAACGGAGACAAACAGGGCATGGAAGTAAGCCAAACAGGAGGTGGCAGGGGCTGTGGCTCTATGGAGCTCATGCAGGAGGGACAATGAGCAACAAATCAGGTTTTTAGGAAAAACAAACAAACAAAAACAAAAACCAGACAAACCAGGTTTTATAACATCTGAGAGCTTTTAGGGGACACTGCCCATGTATGAGAAAGGGTGATTTGCAAGCCCCAAATATGTCATTTATATTAAAATTCTTGTTTGTATTTATGGCTCATGAATCATGGGACCAAGTCAGTAATTCCATTTGATGAGCAGAGGCCAGGCAGGGAAGAGTAGAAAGGCTGGTCTGCCCTTCTTGGATGGCCACTGTCCACTACTGAGTGCTCCAGGCAAAGCCTCAGGCTTAACTACTACTCACATCTTCTGGCAACTTATATAATATGTGGTTGCTAATTAAAGAAATCCCACAAGGAACTGCTGATAACATAATAATGAATCCATACTTGACCTATCATCTTATTAACTTGCTTTTTAAAGCTTATTTATCCCCACCCCGACCCAGCGCCTGTCTGAGCCCCTTGTCCTGTGGATTCCTTTAACTTGAACGACCCCTGCTTCAGGCCACACCAAATTCTGCCAAAACCATCCTTACAAGGGTGATTTGTGTACCTGTTGAAGTTATTCTAAAGGGACAACTGCAGGTCAGGGGTACATGTTTTTGTTTTAAAAACTGATTTCACAGAGGAAGGGAAAGGGAGAGAGAGAGAAATATCAATGATGAGAGATAACCCCTGATAGGCTGCCTCCTGCATACTCCCCACTGGGGATCGAGCCTGCAACCTGGCCATGTGCCCTTGATGGGAATCAAACCTGGGACCCTTCAGTCCACAGGCTGAAGCTCTATGCCAGTGATGGTGAACCTATGAACTCATTTTTTGGTTGATTTTTCTTTGTTAAATGGCATTTAAATATATAAAATAAATATCAAAAATATAAGTCTTTGTTTTACTATGGTTGCAAATATCAAAAAATTTCTAGATGTGACACAGCACCAGAGTTAAGTTAGGGTTTTTCAAAATGCTGACACACCGAGATTCGCCATCGCTGCTCTATGCACTGAGCCAAATGGCTAGGGCAGGGATACACTCTTTTTTAAAAAAAAAAAAAAGTTTTTTATTGACACTCTTTTTTAAAAAAAAAAGTTTTTTATTGACGTCAGAAAGGAAGGGAGAAGGGGAGAGAAGGGGTGAGAGGGTGAGAGAGAGAGGGAGAGAGGGAGGGAGGGAGGGAGGGACATCAATGATGAGAAAGAATCATTGATCAGCTGCCTTCTGCACGCCGCCTACTGGGGATCGAGCCCTCAACCCAGGCATGTGCCCTTGTCCAAAATAGAATCCAGGACTCTCTTTAATCCACAGGCCAACATTCTATCTACTGAGCCAAACCAGCTAGGGCTAGCATTATAAGTTTTTATTGCCAACCCGCTCTTCAGACACACAAACCCGCCCTTATTCACAGTGCTGAGAATTTCCAGATTCTATTAATGAGAAGAAACATTGCTCAAACATGTGCTGACCATGCGCATTCTTTTTGTACACAGTTTTTCTGACACTTTCCCACTAGCAAGACAAAGGAATGATCAGCTTTAAACCCAGTGAGCAGAGCAAGACAGTCTTTGTTGGCTAGCAGCTGCCTGCATCACAGGGCATCTCCATTAATAAACCCAAGAGTCAGAAGGGATAAAAGAATTCTGGCTGAGGAAGTCAGGCAAGGGCTTATGACAGAGGACCTATTTTAGGACCACAGGACTCTGGTAGGCAGGAGACAAAACAAGACAGGGAAAACTGGCTTGCTCTGTCATAGCTTTCTTTCTGGAACACACTTAGCACATGCCAGGCACTCTATTGATGAATTACTTTATGATCCAGTCCACGTGTAATTTTAACCAAAGTTCGCACAAAGGTTTTTGCAAATGCAGTTCTGGTACATGACCAAATTTTAAAAGCAGCAGGGGAGAGCTTGCTATGTAAAAGCAACTCAGTGGGGCTATGGAGAGCTGGACTTCCTGAGGCAGGCAGGCGGATCCTAGCCACATGCCCCCAACACTGGGGTCCTGGTTTCAGGATGAGTCTGAGAACTAGCAAAACTGACATGGCCAGAGATAGCTTTTCTTTTCTTTTTTTAAAAAAATATATGTTATTGATTTTTTACAGAGAGGAAGGGAGAGGGATAGAGAGTTAGAAACATCGATGAGAGAGAAACATCGATCAGCTGCCTCCTGCACACCTCCTACTGGGGATGTGCCCGCAACCAAGGTACATGCCCTTGACCGGAATCGAACCCGAGACCTTTCGGTCCGCAGGCCCGACGCTCTATCCACTGAGCCAAACCGGTCAGGGCAGCCGTGGGCAAACTACGGCCCGCGGGGCGGATCGGGCCTGTTTGAAATGAATAAAACTAAAAAAAAAAAAAAAAAAAGACCGTACCCTTTTATGTAATGATGTTTACTTTGAATTTATATTAGTTCACACAAACACTCCATCCATGCTTTTGTTCCGGCCCTCCGGTCCAGTTTAAGAACCCATTGTGGCCCTCGAGTCAAAAAGTTTGCCCACCCCTGGGTTAGGGTGAGACAGCTTTTCTTCCGTAGTGCTCTCATCAACCATGCTGCTTGCTCCAAGGAGTCTAGTGGTGGTCTTGCACCCTATGCTAAACTTAAGTATTTTTTTTAATATATTTTATTGATTTTTTACAGAGAGGAAGGGAGAGAGCGACAGAGAGTTAGAAACATCGATGAGAGAGAGACATCGATCAGCTGCCTCCTGCACATCTCCCACTGGGGATGTGCCCGCAACCCAGGTACATGCCCTTGACCGGAATCGAACCTGGGACCTTTCAGTCCGCAGGCCGACGCTCTATCCACTGAGCCAAACCGGTTTCGGCAACAATGTCATATCTTACAAAACTTGGTGTTCAGCAGTTACTGCAAGAAAAAAGCAGATACCACGTAAAAATTTACGTGGTACAAGAAATGCAGGTAGCAGATGGCCAAGCTGGTTCTAGCGTGTGAGGAGCCGCGCAACAGGTACACACATTCCATTAGGAGGTAACTATGGTTATCCAAGGGTATTGTATTGTCTTCCTTCCAATTTATGTGCTTTATTTTTTTCAAACTGCTGGAACATTAGTATTTATGTAGTTGTTTGCTTTGGCCTAGGAGCAACACAAAACATTGAGATGCTAAGAATGCTGTGAACCACAAGAGTTTGGGAACTTCTGGGTTAATGAAAATAAAGTAAATTATTTTCCTAAATTTACAGACACCCCCCTCCCCCCATGAAGCACTTCTGTTTCAAGGACATTGGTTGCTATCATCCCAACTCATCTAAGTGATCCGAAAACATTTTAAGGACAGACATTATTTATCAGACAACACACTATAAATGTTTTTTCAAATTTCAACAGAAACTATTTAGTTTCCTGAAGAGTAGGAGATTGGGGGGAGGTGGGAGTGGGGCATAAGGTAAGGCTTGGTTCTGGGACTCGGAAGGCAAGCAAGAGAGGGCAAGAGAAAGGCTATATGCACCTGCCCAGGAATAAGCTGATTTCTAGAGATTCAGTCCCAGTTCTGCCCATCATAAGAGGCTGAGTAAACCTAGCAGGTTGTGACTGTTTACACTTTGTACTTGTGGTTCCACCTGAAGTTTTGGTCTCCCAGGGGGCCCACGAAGCCATGATCCTGCCTCATCTCTGTCCTGTCCATTACTCACCCCTGTGCTAAAGTGGCATGCACATAGTTAGCAAGATGCCAGGGAAGGCAGGAGCAGAGCAGGTTGACTGGAAGCTTCATTGATTCTTCCATGAAAGATGATGACCGTACTTACCACACACACACACCTGTGCCAGGGCCTAAGAAAGCTTGCCTGTAGGTACGTGGTGCTTCCTGGGCTGGTGCTCTGCGCTAAGCACTAGATCTGTATCTACTTGGTTAATTCTCACAGCAACTCTCTATAAGGCATGTGGTGGCCTCATCATCCTCATCCCCATGGCAACATGGAAGCAGGGTAGCAGTGGCCTGGTTGGTCAGAGGTCACCTGGGGCTGTGTTTATCTAGAGTGCTCTGTTCCATAGCAGCCTCTGCTCACCAACCAAACTCAGGGTGGAGACAGTTGACCAGCACTGCTGGGCCTCGTGTGTCTGCAGTTTGGCCAATGACACCCCATTTTCATGTCCCAGCACTTATTACTTACTTATTTATTTTTAAAATGTTTTTATTGATCTCAGAAAGAGGGAGAGATAGAAACATCGATGAGAGAGAATCATCGATCAGCTGCTCCCTGCACGCTGCCCTTACCAGGGATCAAGCCTGCAACCCAAGCATGTGCTCTCCTGGTTCATGGGTTGACAACCACTGAGCAACACTGGCCGGGCTTTTCAAAAAAACAAAACAAAACACAACACAACATCCCGGCATTTAATAATTAGTGAGCCTACCCTCTTTGCAGAATACCACGTGGTCCTTGAGCTGAGTCTCAGTTAGATTTCAGGAGTGGTATTTCCAAAGAATTTCACCCTCATAAACAAATCAGAGCCAAGATAACTCATAGTACCTGGCATCTGTTTGCAATGTGACTCGGCCCATGTCATAGGTGGAAATCTGAAGTACACTTCCCTGCTGATGCCATAGCAAGCAAGGTGGAAGGGAGCAGAAACCAAGTTATTATTTATGCATCCTAAGCAGTAAGGGGCCTACAGGGTTGTGGCCTGAATTTGTTTCATGCCAAGCAAAATGCTGGGGATACCAGGTGACCCCAGCCCCTAAAGAAGTTAT